CAAAGTCTTCCAATATTATTTCCCTAAGCACAACATTCAAATTTTCCTTGAATATCTCTAGTTCTAGAGTCTTGACAGCTTCCTGAAATTATTCTACTGCCTGATTGACTTTCATGATCCAGAATTTTCTTTTCCTCCATATCAGACTTTAGTTTTCTTTCTTCTGGCTTCACCAAGTAATTGGCCAGACCTAGAGTTTCACAGCTGGTAATGAAGAGCTGGAATGCACTGCGAGATAATATTGAGGACCTGGCAGTACTTTGCAGAGAAAGTAACACTGATGTTGTGCTTTGGAGACAGGTGTGTCCAGGAGGCGGGAGATGGCGGGACTCCACGAGGAAGGAACAGCCTCTGTAATCCCAGCTACTTGGAAGGCTGAGGAGGGAGAATCACTGGAACTCAGGAAGCGGAGGTGGCAGTGAGCCAAGATTGCCACTGCACTCCAGGCTGGGCAGTAAAACGAGACTCCACCTCGTCCTCGGCGCTGTCCCTGTGGTCCGTTTCTCTTTCTCAGAATATGTCCGATTCCAAAGCTGCAGCCCTCAGCGATGCAAGCCCTCGAAAGACGAGGTAACGCAGCAGAGGCCCAGAGAATTGACGTCTTTTTTTCAGATGTGTACAGTATTTTGCAGAGCATTCCCCAAAGACAGATTGAAGAAATGCAGAGACAGGCCCGGTGGTTCTGGGAAGCGTACTTCCAGTCAATAAAAGCCACTGCCCTGGCCACCCTGCACATTATCAATGACCGGATCTATCCATATGCTGCCATCTCCTATGAAGAATGGAATGACCCTCCTTCTGTGAAGTGGGGCAGCGTGAGCAATCCACTCTTCCTCCCGCTGATCCCACCACAGTCTCAAGGGTTCACCTCCATAGTCTTCACCTACGACCGAGTAGAGAGCCTCTTCCAGGTCATCACTGAAGTGTCCACAGTGCCCGGTCTATCCTAATTGCTCGTAGTCTGAAATAATCAGAATAAAAACCCTCCAGAAGATTCTCTCTGGTCCCAAATCCGGCTTCCATGAAAAGTGGTGAGGACTGCTGACAAGTTCAGTAACCATTTCTTCCCTTATGATGAAATCGAGCCTTGTTTTCCCCCTGGCCTGGTGCTGAAGCATCCTCATTACCCAGCTGTAACACTCAGTTGGCCTGATTGACCACAACCATTCCCAAACACATGCCTGTCCTGCTCACCTCTGAGAAGCCTGACTTTGGGGGTGGGGTGGAGGTAGGGAACCGGCCTCTCCCCTCCTCTAGTGGTGCTGTGCTGTACTGGCACTGAAGTAGTTATTGCTAACAGTTCTGACATGATGACAAAAATGATGAAGGCTGTCCTATGTAAACTTCAGCTTTCACAGAAGAGCTTGTGCACACTGACATAACTCCCAGAGATTGCCACTTACAGACCCTCCAAAATGTCGGTTGAATGAATGGAGTATTTATTGTTTGAAATCTGGCCCTGTCACATTTTTTTGCCTTTCATCCCTTTGTGAGCAAGATATCTCAAAAAAAAAAAAAAAAAAAAAAAAAAAAGCTGGGCGTGGTGGCTCAAGCCTGTAATCCCAGCACTTTGGGAGCTGCATATGCATGCCATCAAGTGAGGGGATTTTTTTTTTTTTTTTTCTTTTATGAGGCCATACAGACACACCCAGGCCATTATGGTGAGGGGGTCGTTGGAGCCCTACTTGCCCACCCTTCATTGCTGGTTCAGGGCCAACTGTCCGACCACATTCCTACCCTGAGATGATACATTGGGGACATTATCCACTGGGGTCACTGACCACTTATACAGTTTCAGAAATAGAGGCCCAGCTGGTCCCCTGGAAGTTCAGTACATGGGGTAAGCCAAGGCTTGCTTCAGAAATGGGTTTCACATGAAATAGCTGCCCAAGGCCCAGGCCAGCCCCAAGTTTGCATGAAGCCTTCCTGCCATGTCCACAGCCCATGTTGACCCTTCCAGGAGCCACTAGACTGCTTGCTCCTGGGATGTGAGAAGCCCAAGACAGCTGTAGCCTTGCAGAACCACTATGCCCATGTGGAAGTAGTATGCCCATCTGAAAGCAGTACCCAGAGGGCCTATAGAAAGAAGCTGGAGGTGAAACTGGATGCTATAATTTTTTTTTTCTTTAAAAAAAAAAAAGCTTTAATCAATTTCGTTCTTTTTTTTTTTTTTTTTTTTTTTTTTACACCTGCACCCTCTCCTCCCCCTTTAATCAATTTCTTAAAAATTGTTCTTGCAGCTGAACATGGACAGGCCCACTTGCCCAGCAGGTTGCAGGTGACAGCTTCACAGTTTCAAGGCTCAGGGACAGGGCAGTCTCCTCCACATGCCACAGGTGTCTGACAGTGTAGACATTTGACGGGCAGGAGGCAGGCACAGATGATTCGAAGGGGTTGTCTATTTAAAGGCCTGCAGCTCCAGATCAAGGGACACCTTAAACACTGTCAGGCACATACCCCAAGAGAAAAAGCAGCCCAGAGAAGAGAACCTCAGACTTGAGGGCCCTGCACCCCTCAACCACTGCCACCTGGGACCAGGGCTAGCCTGAGGCAATGGGGGCACCTGAATTTGCCCCGAAGGGCTCCCTCGTTCAAATCACATTGATAGGCACAGCTTTAGGATTCAGCAGGGCAGGGAGGAAGCAGGCGTGGGCTGGCCACAGCTTTGAATGGCCATCTGTCAAATGCTTCATGCATGTCCCAGAGACGTTGATGAAGTTTGTGCCGCGGTACAGCCTTGTCCTAGAACTCTGTGATAGCAGTGCTTTCCGAAGAAGCCTGCATGACCCTGAAGGGCTGGTGGCCACCTACATCAGCGAGGTGTATGAGCACGACGGGTACCTGTACCTGGGCTCCTTCAGGTCCCCCATTCTCTTTAGACTCAGCCTCCAGTCTGTTTAGCCCGCCCAGATAGCTGCCCCTGCCATGCAAGCCAGGAGTCTTCACACTCAGGCACCAGGCCTGGTCCAGAAGGAGCTGTGGACACAGTCGTGGTTCAAGTGACCACACGCACCTGTCAGTCCCTGAGGGGTGGTGGGCACAGCTGCTTCATCCTCTTCGAGGATGCCCGGGCCCTACCAGGGGCACCTTCACCTGGGCTTGTCTTTCTGTTTAGAGGGAAGTGTAACATATCTGCCACAGGGAAGATAAATTCATGTAAAGCTGTTTTCTCTTAAAACAAAACAAAGCTTTCTAAGTACAGTCATTCTCTAGGACTTGGGAAGCTTCTTGCATTTGGAACAGGGCTCAGGTGAGTGGAGCAGTGACGCACTGCCCATGAGCTTGCTGCTGCGGCCCTGTCCCGTGGCCTCAGTGTACTTCTTTACTATCATATAATGTGCTGATCATACTTTTGTTTGTTGGAGGGAGGATGAAAGAGCAGAGGGAGCACGGCCCACGGGTGTTGAGGCAAGCAACAAGAGCCGTGTAAGCCAAGAATGGAACTGTGTTTTCAAGGGTTGTGTGGGACGTGGGCTCTCCATAGTGCATAGGAAAAGCATGTTGACTTTAGTGGCTCAGAGAGAACTTTGCTGGGTTTCTTTCTGTGAATATCTCCACACTGCCCATGCTGAACATGCTGGAATTGGATGATTCTGCAAATCGGGACCTATTGCAGGGGTGCCTTCAGTAATGTCCTGTCTGTGACTTTTGTTCTTGACCCCAAGACCCCAAAATGTGAACAGTGCATGTGTTAATGTCATCTTTGCTCATGTGTTATAAGCCCCAAGTTGCTGTATATTTTCACAAGTATGTCTACACACTGGTCATGATTTTGATAATAAATATGATAAATCGAGAAAAAAGAAAAATAAAAGCTCCATAGTATGGGATGTGCATCTGTCTAGGTTAGGGGTCTCCATATTGGTGTACATAGTTGTATGTACATTGAGAGGAGTGTATACAGCTTTGTACCTTGAGGGGAATGTATACATAGTTTTACAATGCAAAACATTGTACATTTTTTTTAAAGGACAACTTTTTATTGCTACCAGAGGCTTTTATCATCAGTACAGAGTTCTGACTGCAATACCTTTTTCAGACTGCAAAGGGAGCTCAGAATCCAGGAGTCATTAAGAGATATAGGTAGGCTGGGGAGGTAGGGGGAGTAAGTTCTAACAGCTTAATGTAAAACTAGGGTACTTAATTCAGTTATGACATGTTACAGACTCAAATCGTAGAGCTGCCCCAATATCTAGAAAGAGCTAGACAGTCTCTCTTGTTATAATACTGATATAATACTGATTATAAATGAGTGAAAACTAATCAGTTACAAAAATCTAATTTCAGTTGTTACATACATGTTTCTTTGGTGAGCACCAGGATATATTAGCTTTATCACAAATCTTTTATACAAATATCAAAAATGCTTTCAACAAATCTAAGTGTCCTAATTACATGCAACTTTTAAGCATCACTTTGAGGTAAACAAAAATGAAAACCATAATTTTAAATTAAAATTTGAAATGAGACACAAAATCAATTTGGTAATACGGGATCTTTTTCTGTTGCTCTCTCTCATTAATATGGGACAATTCCAAAGTACCCTTTTCAAACTAATTGGAACTTGAATCATGGCTGCCACACCAAAATAATTTGTTCATTCAACTGCTAAAAAATAATTTTGGGGTTTCCTATTCAGTGAAAATCAGAATACAGATCACCATGCATAAAGTTCACTAACTATTAAACGGAGAAGCAAGCAAAAGCAATGGGAAGATTAAATCAGGATGCTGAGGGGGAACAGGTTTGCTGGCTATGAATTTTAACTGAATTTTTGACGGGGCAAGCTACGTTACATTATGGCGGAAAAAAAAGTGCAACTGACATACTACTAAGTGATTTTTTAAGTTTAAAAAAGGTTTGGATCTTTTGGATTCTTTTTTTTTTTTTTTTTTTTTTTTTTTGGTCTTTATGTGCTTAAATAATGTTGAATTATAATTAGCCACACGAATAATGAGAGGTTTTTTTTTTTTTTTTTTTTTTTTTTTTTTTTTTTTTTTTTCTGGCTTACTCCAAATCAGCCTGTTAAGGTATATTTCCTTCTACAGCCTTTCCTCATTTCCCACGTTCTCATTCCCAGAGTAGTCTACCTCAGTTTACACTCAAACGTAACTCTTGTTGAAACTACGTGACAGAAATAGGCTGCAAAGGTGGACAAGGAGAAGCATGTCCCTCCTGTCTTGATATATCAGTGCCACACACAGAACCCACATTTTCTGAAACATTATCTTCATTATAGAGCCATTTGAATCCATCGTAGAAGTCATCCACTTCCATTTCCTCTACTCTGCGTTTAGAAGAGATCGGCATGCACCCATTGGCAGCTGGGAGATGATGGTAAAAGGCTGCTGTACCTCTGACTGGCACTTCTGGCTTGCTGTTGTCCTTGGAGAAGTCTGGGCCTGAGACAGAGGAGGGATGTAATCTGAACACTCCTTTGTCACAGGTTACCAGGGTGTGCTTGAGGGGACGGTAGACATAAATGGAATTTAGAGGCAGGGAAGACTGCAGAGTAGAAAGGTGATGTGCCACAAGCTCCTGACAATGGATCAATTGGGAGCCATCCATCTGTGCTTTCTGAAGTAGTTCAATTGCAAGAGAAAGCCAATCAGAAATGAGTTTCTCCATTTCCAGACTAACCATGGCCAGAGCAAGCATGGATCCTCTGAATTGCAGAAGTTGGTTGCAGGCCATACAGTAAAGTAGTTGCTTGGTAAGAACTGCCAGATGTTGAGATGGGCTCAATTTGGGCAAACTGAAAAGTAACTGAGGCCTAGTTGACACTGCAATGGTCTGTACAAAAATTATCTGGGTGTTGTGGCACATGCCTGTAATCCCATTTACTTGGGAGGCTGAGGCTGGAGAGTTGCTTGAATTCAGGAGGTGGAGATTGCAGTAAGCCGTGTGTTACGCATACCTAAGCCCCAATGCACATTATTGTACACCCTCCTCATGGGTACATGGGTGTACAATATGTGGGGTCATGCAGACCCAGGGTTCTGCTGCAGGACATGCTGGCAAATCCAGCACACTTCACTCTGGGGTTTTTAAGGAGAAGAGAAATGTATATACAACATGTATACACTGTACATTTGTACAAATGTTTTTTTGTATTTGTACATGTACAAAAACATCTGCACTATATTTGTACATTTTGTATACAAATATAACAAAAATACATTTTGGTACACCATATTTTTGTACATTATGGCTGATCATGTGACCACCCAAAAGGGGACTCACATGCCACCTTCCTGGTGGCTCATGGGGGCCACCAGGAAAAAAAAAAGCCATGCAACAGCACTGGGCTCCATGATGGCCAGTTGGAGGCCTTACATGGAAGGCTGCTCTCGAGTGGACTCCAGGATAGAAGTTCCAGCTCTGAAAGTGACCTAAGTCTGTCTTCAATAGTCTTTCTTAACCATAGCAGTGGCTCTGACGATTCAGCCGGAGATGGAGAATGTGGCTTAGATCAATCTCTTGTTTCTTTAGAGATGTCCGAGATCCTTCCAGATGAATCAAAATTCAATATGTACCGGTTCTACTTTGGAAGCTCTTGTGAATCAGAACTTGGAAATGGAACCTCTTCTGATTTGAGCTCACAGTGTCTCTCTGCACCAAGCTCTGTGACTCAGGATTTGCCTGGAGTTCCTGGGAAAGACCAGTTGTTTTCACAGCCTCCAATGTTGAGGACAGCTTCACAAGAGGGTTGCCAAGAACTTACACAAGAACAAAGAGATCAACTGAGGGCAGATATCAGTATTATCAAAGGCAGATACCGGAGCCAAAGTGGAGAGGATGAATCCATTAACCAAACAGGACCAATCAAAACCAGACTGGCTATTAATCAGTCACATTTAATGACTGCACTTGGTCACACAAGACCATCCATTAGTGAAGATGATTGGAAGAATTTTGCTGAGCTATATGAAAGCTTTCAAAATCCAAAGAGATGAAAAATCAAAGTGGAACAATGTTTCGACCTGGACAGAAAGTAACTTTAGCATAAAATACACTTCTTTTGGGTTTTTGTTTTGTTTTTGATGGCTTGTCCATATGTTGTAACAGGGAAAAATGGCATCTGTAAATTTCTTCTTAATTTAACAAATTTGGTTGATTTATAAAATCAGATTGGTAAATGCTGTAATTATGTAATGATCAGGATTGAGATTAATACTGCAGTACAAATTGGGACATTTATAATGGAGTCTATATTTTATGCCCTTTGAGGAAAAGATAATAAAGAATGAAATTAAATTTAAATTTCTTGGCATTCACAGTTGCACATTCAACATCTTGGTTGCATTTGACAAATTTTATGCTTAGCAGCTTCTTCACTATTTTTGAAATAAAATATCATTTTACCTACTGGAAAAAAATTTTTTTTTTTTTTTGAGGGCTTATTCTCTGCCAAACGCATTGGTGCAAGCAGTGTTTTGTTTAATCCTCCAGGCAAAGGTGGCAGTGATATTAAGGAACAATGGTACTAGTGAAGGGGAAACAACAACAGAGAAATCCTTCAAATCTGAATTACAACAAAGGAACATTGTGCAGCAAGTCCTTCCCATTTCATCTGAGTTTAACAGGAACGTTTTCATGTTAAAGGGGAAACCACAGAGCAAACAACAGATGATTCTGAACCTCAAGAATTTAAAAATCCTCTACCTCCTTTCACTCTGTTTTGTTCTACCCTGTCATAAAAGGCATGAGTCTGTTTGACCGGAAAGATTCCTCTCAAAGGGGAAGTTAGATTCATTTAGGAGGTAAAACAGTTCTGGGATCATGTATTGGGAAGATGATTTGAATTAAAATAAGAACACAAAGTAGTCATTCAATGCATGCTAACTATTGAAAATTCGGCATGGTTTATCTGTGTCTGTTCCGGGACACAGCACTGCAGGCTGCTGGTCTGGTCGTACCAATCCCATGCATTTTTCTGTGCATGGTCTCCAGCTCTATGGAGGACCTTCTTACTTATTTCCATTTTCCTTCAGGACAAAAATTGACAGGTGACTCACTGGCTTTTCTAGCTTCTCTGTTTTGCTTCTGTGTTCACCCTGCTTCTGGGCTTCCCTAGTATTGATTAATGATATTGTTTTATTTTGACAGGGCCCTTCCCATCGTTCATATGAATTTGACACATAAATCATATTCTTTTTGTCCCTTCTCTTTGGGCATACAAATACTGCAATGGGCTAGGAGTACAGCTCATTTGCAGATGGGAAAAACTGAGCTTCAGGGAGGTGAGGAATGATGTCTGTCTCTGGATGTGAGCCTGGAGGGGTACAGCTGAGAAGAAGGGCATCTTCCTACTATACATCCCGAGTGATATAATCTCTCACCAACAATGAGAGAGTGGTTGTAAAATGTACATATGTAGGAAGTACATGCCCCCACATGTACTTGGTCCTGCAGCAGAACCGCGTACAAAGGGGTGCATGGGTGGACATCCCAGTAAAGGGGTGGGATGTCAGGGCCACTTGTTTCTCCCTCTCTCCAGAGCCTGTTGGCACCATGCCGCTGCAGAATCCGAGGTTAAAAAAACGGACAAAAGATCTTTATTTCTGAGAACTGGCTTACAAAAGGCGGAGGGGGAAGGGAGGGAAGGAAAGAGCGAGCGTGGCCTGGGGTTGATGCCAGCTTAGGGGCCTCAAATTCCAATTAGGAAAGTCCGGACACTGGACAGAGAGAGAAACCCACAATTAGGGAAAAAAAAAAAAAAAAGAAAAAAGAAAAAGGAAGAAAGAAAGACATGGCAGTGCATGCCCCCCTCCCCCAACCAAGTACCACCACCTGATACCTGTGTACTCTTCCCCTTCCCATCCCCTTTCACAAAGGGAGGCAAAATGTTTTAAAAATTTAAAAATCCCTCCCCCAAAACTGTCCAAGACATCTGTGGGTCCTACCCCCCAAAACAGGCTAGGTTTCCACATGGGCCAAGTTCCTGCAGTCTGTCCTCCATCAGCAAGCACGGAGGCATGAGGAGACAAGTCTCGAGGTGGTAGCACCAGAGGGCGCCCAGCCCCTCCAGGGACACACACACACTTGCTCCCTTCCTTTATTCACTCATCACTCCCTTTGCCAGGAAAGGGAACGGAGATTCGGGTGGCCTGGGCATCCACCCTCTACCTCGCAGCCCACCTTCCTTCCCCACAGGTGCTCAGTCCTCCAGGACAATAGGCTCATTGGTGCTGGCAGGACGTGAGGGTGCAGGTAGAGGGACTGGGGCGGCTCTGCAATCAGCGTTGGCTTCACCTTCAGGGGTAAGCTGGGTCGGCGAGCAGCTCGCCGAATTTCCAGGTGAGTCAGAGCCTTGCGTAGGGCCCTAGTATCCTTCGTGGCCACAAACACCGCAGGATTCGGTGCATCAGCTGGGTTTCGTTTTTGACGTTTGGCTGCTGGCTGTGAGCTGGAACGAATCCCTGAAGCCAGAGGCCTTCCATTGGCAGAGAAAGGAACCCCTGCCCCTGCCATAGTCTCGTAGGCTCGTTTCACCATAATGCTCCCCAGTCCTCGGTTCTGGGACAGCTGGCTTCTGTTGATCGGTGTCTTGGTACCCCGAGGTGTTTTTGGTTTCAGGGGTGCCTGGGCCACCAGATCTTTGGAGTAGTTGCCAGGGGCAGCCGCACCAGAGGGTGAATCTTCAATGGAGTCTTTGCTGCCTTAGGAAGTCGAATGGAGCACTCTGCTTTGAGAAAATTGGCATTGATAGGAGCATAAGGTCTTCGGGCAGCCCTCCCTGGCTGTAATAGGTCCCTGCACATGCGTCTGGCAAGACGGGTCAGCTTCGTGGTCTGAAGCAGGAAAGTTTGCTTGTTTTTAGCCAAACATGTAAAAAAAAAAAAAAATATGGACAGTGGCACGGCCACCGTTAACTGCAGCCCCCACCTCCTAGGCTCAAGTGATCCTTCCACTTCAGCCTCCTGAGTAGCTGAGACTATGGATGCTTCCTGCCAAGCCCGGCTAACTTTTTAATTTGTTGTAGAGATGGGGCTCATTCAGCCTTGCTGCCGATACGTTATTAATTGAATATTAATTGTAAATTAGATATATTTGAGGTTTTCAAGGACTATCTTGCAAATCAACCTTAAATTTCTATGATGTCATTGAATATTTCTATAAGCTAGTCCTTTAAAGTTTAGAAGTATTTTCTTTAAAATAAGTTGGAAATGTTTAAATTCAAAATAGTTTAATTAAACCTTGGATAACATAGCACCTAAATAACTTACCTGGTCCCACACTACTTCATAACTACAGAACAGACAAAGTAATTAATCTGGAGAGATTTATTTTCATGTTTATTTTATTCTTTTGTTGGCTTAATTTAATATAATTATAGTAAATAATTGTTTAAACTGAAGAAAAAATATTTGAGAGTGTTTTCTTTTTACATGCTGCAATGTAATCATAAATGAAATAGAAAATATAATGCTATTTGCTACTGGAAAAATGCATGTCATATCTTTAAGTTTTGCTGTTTTATGTTTTCAACTTTCATTTTGGTTTCATTGTTTGCTGTATTTGTTGCTGTTTTTTTATATTTTGTTTTTGAGTGTCAGCAAAAATCTCTTTCGGATCTTGCTGACAAAACCAGAATTAAGAAACCACATAAGCCACCTAGTTCAGCATTTAAATCCCAAATACCAACGTCCTTAGCAACCTAAGTTGCTAAATGAGCTAAAAAGACATGTAAAATAAGGTAACTTCTAAATTACTGAACTTCTCATTTTCTCTACACAGACAACCACTAGGTGGTTTCTGCCCACTTACATTCTGATGTTTCTTGGAAACATCTGAAGTGTGTACAGGAAGCCAACACATGAATTGTTCCTTGAGAAGTGAATCAATGACGTGATTGTTTGGAGGGTCAGGTTTTTACACTTGCTATTAAGCTAAATATTTCTAATGTGCCTTACATTTTCTTGTTGCAAAATACATCATCTGAATTCAATTATTACACGGGAATATTCCCACAAGCCCTGTGTTCTTATCTGTCCTATGCAATGTGGCAAAATCCTTATCCAGGTGACTAATATTTACTTCTCATAGCATTAAAAAAAAGTTAAAAGTCAAACAAATTTATTTTTAAACAACTTTTGTTTAAGGACAATGGCAAGCATTAGTTAAAAGATCAGTTAAAAAGATAAGAAATCCCTTATATATTTTAAAGTTTGTATTACATAGCTCCCTAAAGTTTTGGAAAAAAAAAGTAGCCTCTTTCATATCTGGAAGATTGTAGAGACCGATATACTTAAATTTAATTACATTTGAATTAAATACAGTTATTCTAATTATAAAGCATGCTGTGTTGCATCAGTATTTATAAGACATTACCTTATACTTTTAATGATTAATACTATCAAGACTTCCCTTGAATGAAGATCATATCATTTTCCATGTATCTATTCATTTGCATATCTATCTATTTATCTATTTATTGGTTTCTATTGGAGATAATAAATTTATACATAAAAGCTAGAATTTTGACAATTGGTGATAATTTTTTTTTTAATTTCACAAGCTTTTCATGCCTGTTTTACTTTATGAAATATCATATGTGGGCCGGGTGCAGTGGCTCAGGCCTATAATCCCTGCATTTTGGTAGATTTATGTCGGCGGATCACAAGGTCAAGAATTTGAGACTAGCCTGGACAAAATGCTGAAAACCCGTGTCTACTTAAAAAAAAAAAAAAAAAAAAAAAAAAAAAAAAAAAAAAAAAAAAAAAAAAAAAAACTAACCAGGCAGGGGTGGCAAGCATCTGTAATCCCAGCTACCCAGCTACTTGGGAAGCTGAGAAAGGAGAATCGCTTCCACCCAGGAGGTGGAGGTTGCACTAAGCTGAAATTGTGCCATCATACTCCAGCCTGGATGACAGATCAAGACTCTATCTCAAATTTAAAAAATGGGAAAAAAATGAATATTATATGTGATATGGATTAGCTCTGATCCCACTCAAATCTCATCTCAAATTTTAATTCTCATGAGTTGGGAGAGGTGCCTGGTGGGAGATCATTGAATGATGGAAATGGACTAACTTCTTGCTATCTTTATAACAGTGAAATAATTCTAATGAGATCCCGTTATTAGAAAATGTGTGACAATACCCCCCTTTGCTCTCTCTCTCTCCTGCTCTGGCATGGTAAGACATGCTTGCTTCCCCTTTGCCTTCCACCATGATTGTAAGTTTCCTTAGGCTTCCCAGTCATGCTTCTTGTTAAGCCTGCAAAATTGCAGGTCAATTAAACCTCTTTCCTTCATAAACTACCGAGTCTCAGTTAGTTCTTTATGCAGTGTGAAAACAGACTAATTCAATATGGCAGTTAATTTCAGAATTCAATGAATGCTATCATTTTATGGAGAAAGGACTGACTACAAGATCAGGACTTGGATATATGTTACAATCTAGATGAGGAATTGTGATCACTTAACAAGTAGAAAGTATTTGATCATCAAATATAACTTGGATGCCTCTTCCAAATCTCATTTGAGATGTAATACCCAGTGTTGGAGGTGGAGCTCAGTAAGCTGTGTTTGGATCATGAGAGTAAATTCCCCATAAATGGCAATTTGGGCCATCCCCTTGGTGATAAGTGAACTCTTTCTCTGAGTTTAAAGAAGGTCTTGGCATTAAGCAGTGTGTGGTCCCTTCCCACCCATTCTTTTTCTCATTGTGTGATAGGTTTGCTCTGTCTTTGCCTTCTGCCATAATTGGAAGCTTCCTGAGGCCTCCCTAGAAGCAGATGGCACTACGCTTCTTGTACAGCCTGCAGAACCATGAGCCAATTTCTTATAAATTACTTACTCTCATGTATTTCTTTATAGCAATACAAGAATGGTCTAACACACCATCTACATGAGAGTGTAAGTCAATGATCTTTACATTTGTTCTTTTTAACATAATTCTTTTTAGTAATTCCACATGATTTTATATTGGTTATCATAAGATTTCTTTAAAATTCTTAAGAAAATTAGACAATCTGATTACTTGCTATTTTGAGACATGCTTTTTTATAGTTAGTAGCATAGAATTATGAAAACCTGAAATACAATTGTGATGTCCCTGAAAAGGATGTGTGTTCTGTGATTTTTTTACGTATGTATGAATGTGTATGTATGTATGGATGGACAGATAGAGAGATGAATGGGGAGACAGAGTTAGATAAATGGATTCATTTTCTGAACTCTTTTACTAAAGAAGTCTTATTTAAAGAACTACAGAAACATTTTTTTATAACAACACCTTTTAATACACATCATTATGATTTTTCTGGGAATTTAGCTTATTGTGTTTTTTGTTTTTTTGTGAACATTTGTGTATGCAGAACTCTTTTCCTCTTGTGTAATATAAAACATATATGCTGAAGTTTCCAGAGGTGATAAATGTATTGGCTATTAAATCAAGAATTTCTAACACAGTGCTTTGATTAGTTGCCCTAGATTTATGCTAAATGATTTCCTTTTATTTTTCTTTATATGAATGCAGATATTAATATACCATGACTGTGTGAAATAGGAAAAAAAAATGTCATATAGTGTTTGTTTTGAAAATCTGAAATTAAACCAAAGTAGATTCAGGTATTATGAACACATAATTTTTAATTGATATTAAAAACTCACCTTTATTATTATTATTATTTTGCTATTTGAAAATTGGTGATTTACTTTTTCTATTGTTTGCTAAAACATTATTTATTTTAAAATATACAAATATAGATTGCTTGTCTAATTTTATTAAATACATACATTAAATATACATTTGTAGTATTAAGTACACATTTGTAATTAAAGATTTAGGGCACTATTTTTTTTTTAAGAAATAAATGGTAAAGATTGAGACAGATCTTCCAGAATAAAAAAAACTACCTATAACTATGTTGTATTGAATGTTTATTATAGGCTTAAAAATGCAAAAAGTGCTTTTCAGTAAACATTTTATTTAAAAATGTAATTTTTGAAATGCTTTGCATTATTACATCTACTTTATAAAAATAAAAACTGAAATCAAGAGATTTAAGGAAGTTGGCATTCCATTGCTTATTTTTCACTGAGACTTGGATTTGATTTAAGGCATTTGGACACCAGAGCCCCAAAGACCTGACTTTCACAAGGAAGAGCTGGAAAACATAAAAAATTAATTCTTCATGCAACCTAGTCTAACTATTTTTTAAAAAAAGGGTGTGTATTATTCCTCAAATTATTGTTATCAAGCGGGGAGAGGGTATTTTTGGCTGCTTTCTCTTATTCCCTAAACTTTATTTTTTGCTATTTAGATCCATAGTGAAAGTCCTTTGCTGTGCTATAATATATTATGAACTTAGAATCATTTTTCTTGGGATAATAATTCTTAAAGTATGGGATATGTTAATATTTAAAATTATGTTTTTCTTCCACAAAAGAAAATGAAGATGGGATTGGGTTAAGCAGGATATTTTAAGTCACAGCCTTGATCTATACAAAAATACATAACTAAATAAAAATAATCACAATCAGAGGTTTTGACAGCACACACACACACACACACACACACACACACACACACACAGAGAGAGACACACACACACATATTAACAGAAACTTACCTAAAGCTACAGAAAACAGATTACATTCACCTTAGAATGTATGCAGTTTTGCATTTATTAAGAATTTCCAGAAGAAGAATTT